TTTGTGTTATGGGGTTATATATACTGATCTTCTAAATTGAAGTGAAAAGTCAAGAGATTTTTTTTATTAAGCTGGATAACTGTTCATTATTTGACTTTATTTTTTTTTTCATTTGTAACTGTTACCTGTCAAGCCAAGAGAGTTTTGATTAGAAAGAGAATTTTTTATTTTTGAATAAAACTGCTAACTCTTACAGTTTGTGTTTATTAAGTGCGTTGTAGATCTTGATCCGACCCAACACCAAGATTTTGACATAAAGATCTCACATATATTACATATTTAATCCAAAATTTAAACCAGCCAGATAATCTCAGAAATAGTGTTGTTGTCTCTTATTTGATTTCAAGGGAAGGTCTGCTTTAATTTTAATGCATAAAAATAGCTTAATTTTTGACTTTTTGTCTGTTACTGGCTTAAAAGTCCATTATCAAAAGTTAGTTTCAATTGTTCGGGGGTCATTATTGAGTCCATGGATTAGAGAGTTAACATAGTCCATTATTAAAGAGTTCCTATTGAGTCCATGGATTAGAGAGTTAACATAGTCCAGTATTAAGGAGTTATTATTGAGTCCATAGAATAGAGGGTTAACATAGTCCAGTATTAAGGAGTTATTATTGAGTCCATGGATTAGAGAGTTAACATAGTCCATTATTAAGGAGTTATTATTGAGTCCATAGAATAGAGGGTTAACATAGTCCAGTATTAAGGAGTTATTATTGAGTCCATGGATTAGAGAGTTAACATAGTCCAGTATTAAGGAGTTATTATTGAGTCCATGGATTAGAGAGTTAACATAGTCCAGTATTAAGGAGTTATTATTGAGTCCATGGATTAGAGAGTTAACATAGTCCAGTATTAAGGAGTTATTATTGAGTCCATGGATTAGAGAGTTAACATAGTCCAGTATTAAGGAGTTATTATTGAGTCCATGGATTAGAGAGTTAACATAGTCCATTATTAAAGAGCTCCTATTGAGTCCATGGATTAGAGAGTTAACATAGTCCAGTACTAAGGAGTTATTATTGAGTCCATGGATATAAAGGGTATGTCAGGTATGTACTAAGGAGCTAGTTTTTGCCATAATTTTGTTAGGATTTACATTTCCCTTGGATAATGAGCTAAAGGAAGTGGCAAAAGTAGTGTACCATGTGCTTGAAAAGCTGTACAAGATGTATTTTTGTATGCTTTTTGAGGTAGCTTCCCATCAACAGTTCCTTGCAGTTCTTAATCATGTGCTTAACCGTAATATAAGATGTAAATTAACCATAAGACATTTACAAGAAATTGAATATCCAGGACTTATTTTTCAATATAGTCATATTTGGGACCTTGAAGAAGTTATTAGCTTTTGTGATTTTATTTACTGCCCATATTCTTTGGAATGATACAAAATGTATATAGCTTTTAATTGTTCTGTTATGTTATTAGAAAATGTTAAAATCATTATCTTTCTTTTTGTTTGCTCAAATGTGTACATATATCTTGAATAAGTTCTAGAACATTGAATTACTTTAATTCAGATGTAAACAATATTTACCTCCATAATCGTAAATGTTAGACACAATTTGAATGAGAGTCCAAAATAAGGAGTTATTAACTCATAATGACCGTAAACTCTTAATGCTTATTCGTTGGTACGTCCGAGCAATTGTGGACAAGATGGATGGTCCGATGGATGGACATAGGTGACAACAATATACACCCACCATTTCATGTGGGTGTATAAAAATTTGGTTTTTAACAGGGTGAAAAGTCTCAAATACTAGCCGTCCAAAAGTGGGTTGAAGCAATTCCTATAAAAAGTGACATTTTATGTATGACCCATCTCTATATCATGTAAGAGAAATTGGTAAGGCCAGATTTGTGGACATTAAATTTTCTCACCTCTCTCAGTTCATTTTCAATTCTTAATTTTTCCTTTTCACAAGAGAATAATTTTTCTTCGTGTGATAATTTGTAATTTCTGTATTCTTCTTGACATTCGACTAGTTCTTCTTTTACTGTTTCTTCTTTTTCTACTAAATACTGTAACTTCAGTTTCATATCTTCAACTCTGTCATGTTCCACCTAAAAAAACATATTTCAAAAATTCAGTCAAACTTTAAGAATTTAAATAAAGCATATTTTTAAACTATACATTTTCCTTTTTTGAAAATAAGATCTTCTTTGAGGTTTTTTTTGTAATACGAACCAAGTATATTTCATAGAATATTATATTTTTTATGATCAAATGATACGTCCTAAGTGAAACAGTGCAATGATGATTTGTGAATCTGCAAAATGCCCTCAAGTTTTTCAGTTGATACAGAAAGAAGAGGAAAGATGCCTTAAAGGGACAGATGCCCCATTTTTTGACCAATCATACTCCAGTCTCAGAAACGGGAATTTTCTAGCTAAGCCAATCAGTAATAGTGTTCACAGCCTTCAATCCAGGTGTGTCCAGAATTATCTGCAGTTGAAGATACTATGTGATATATAGAAAAGATATATATAGAAAAAACATGAGCCAAATTCCTAGTTTGACATATTTTTAAAGGAATTATGCGATTTTCGTACATTTCTAGTTCTTCAGAAGACTAAAATGCCACATCTGTCCTTTTAATCAAAGTTACCAGCCCCATTTAAGTGACCCAATCATACCAATAGCAACACTGATCTTATAGAGATTAGGGTGGTTGAAAACAAACTAGCAACTAGTCACTATTCAACAAAAGGCACTGACACGACACAGGGTTAAAGTTATCTAAGACAGATAGAAATATTTTTCTTATACCTTCTTCTGTGTTCTTAATATTTCAACTTCTTTCTCAAGGTCATATCTAGCTCTCTTATTATTAGTCTCTACATCAGTTAATGCTGTTTTTAAATGAGTTATCTGTCCCTTGGCTGCTATGATTTCTGCTGTTTTCAATTGATTTTCTCGATCTTTATCTAAAATACAAAACATATTTAAAATAAATGGTTTTGAAAAGATAGAGAAAAAGAATTGGAGGGTGTATGTGTTCAATCTTTAAAGCTTCTATTCAAAAGATATTTCCTTTACTACAGAATTAAAGCATCAATTTAGCTATCTGTATTTATCTCTGCCAGTATAAATGTCTATGATTGGAATTAGATAAAATCTTTTGTAATTATAAGAGAGTTATACAGGGAGCTGATATTGGGATTTGTCAGCTAAAGGTGCATGCACACAAACCGTCATGGTCAGAGATTTTTGTCGCTGACTAAAGTCTAGTCATGAGTTTCACCGACTAGCACGGGCACACAAGAAGACAAAAATCTCCAGTCGGTCATTTTCCACTACGTCAATAAATCAACATTGCGCAACATGCAATTGAAAAGAAAATGGATGATGACGCTGTATTGAGACGATAAAAAATATCGGAGACAATTATCAAACTTGGTTGATACTATATCCTGTTGGGGTACCATAATCTTGACATGGAAGTATAGGCACACTCAAGATTTTACTTAAGACTCTAATTGGCTGCAGAAATCTCTGACCATGATCACTCGTGTACCCACACCTTAAAAAAGAAAACATTGAATGGTTTAGCAGTTTATTTTCTTACCAAATAATGCCTTCATTGACATTGATGAACAAGACTGGTTACTTGTACTACGATATGAATCACTTCCAATTCTACATTTTGGAAAACTTCTTCTACTGTTGGAATCAGAGAGAAATGAATCCAAATCTCTCTTCATTCTAATAACTGATGTATTTTCTCCTTCTTCTTCATCCATTTTGAAATAGCTGACTTTCGTATAGTTCTAACTTAAACTAAAAGTATAAAAAAGTCAATCAATTCAATATCAAAATCAGCTTTATTAGCTATTCATATTACTTTACTCTTAGAATCTTGATTGTAAACTAAGTCATGACTCAGTATTGTATGTTGATTATTGTCATCAGCTATGATTGTAAGGAGGTTTTCTAAACTTTTTATGTGTATCGGAGACACTGATAGCATCAAGTTGGAAAATTTCAATTTTCATTCTGATGTCTGTGGTTCTTGCAATTCTACTAAAACTAACACGTTTTAAGACGTCAATAGAGGGGAACTACTTTTGCTACTTCTTCTAGAAATGACAACTGGCCTATGACAACATATCTTTCTATTTGAACAAATTTGTTTACATGTTTTTTCAACACTGAATTTCGTCAAAATTTAAAAATCAGAAAAATATTGTTTATGTCTTAGATGTTTCCTCAAATATTCTTTAAAATAATTAGAATTCGTTTGATTCAATTTTCTTATTAATCCCTCACTTTGACCCATATTTGTGATATTTGGTACGGTAATAACTGAAATCTGCCATTTTGTCTATGTTAGTAATAAATACCGGGCTTTGTAACGACAAGAAAAATTTTGCAGATTTAGGTTGTAGAGATAACCCATGTTCATCAAAACATGCAAATGCAGAGTTCATGTCAGGTCGCAAATTAAAATTTTTTATCATTTCCAGAGATACACGAAATTAGATTACTTGACTGAACTGTTAGTTTTAGAATGTCTTTGCATTGATAAATATATAATTTTTTGTGAAATTACATTTAAAAGAAACACATTTCTAGAAATTTCATTTGTAAAATAAAATTTATAAGAAATAATGTGCACATATCGAGTTAATATTTTTATCAACGCAAAGACATTCTGAAGAATAACAACTGTCATTGCAATTGTCATAAACATTACGGAAAAATTCATTTTAATTTCCTCAGACAATAAGATGAAATTATGGACACTGGTGTGGAAATTGAACTCAACTGTAGTGTAGTAACTGAGTCTAACTTTTTGTAGTCATGTAAGCCGGTTGAAGTCGGACAGTGTACTACTCCTAGAATTACAAGGACATATAGTGAAAAATCTATCCCCATGAGCTCACATATCAAAATGTATATTTTTGATACCTTTAATGTTTTTGAAATCGTTTTATTGGAGTATCTAAAGTATATTTACTTTAAAATTTTATTTTGAACACCAAACAAACCGCCATTTTGGATTGGAGTGATTTCCCCTTACGGCAAATGAGTAACTACCGTTATATAGGAAAACGTAACCAAAAGATTTAAAGGTACAATAACTAGTTGGTCTTTAGTAAAACACATAGTAAAATATTTCTTATATTTTGATGGTCTAAATCTGCTTTTCAATTCGTTTAATTGGTATTTCTGTTAATTCTACAAGGACTTCATGTTTAATCCTTTCTTCCGTTGCTTCTGATCTATGGAAATACAGAAGATTACTCAACGCCATTACCTAACCTAAACAATTATTATTTTGTTTTAAGAAAGCACAGGTGAGACAACTAATAGATATTGTGATTTTGATTATTATTTTATTTGATTGGGACAATAAAATTAATTATAGACTACTAGGAATTTATAATCTATCTAACCTACAGCAACTATATGACCAACTGTAGAGAGTACGTCCCTTTAAGGGCACTTGCTTTTTAAAATAGAGTCATCTCCCTTTAACCATTTTTACCGATAGCAAATTGTAAATGTTACAAAAAGTTCAATTATTTACTATTTACTAATTTTCATGACCAATAAATTCGTTTCTGTACATAATTTCTTCGAAATGGTTTATATTGGTTACAAATGAACAGTTTCAAAAAAGAAAATGTGACCTAAACTTTTTGTTTCCATTTTTGGAATTACGAACGAGATCGAGTCCAACATGGCGTACGGTAAAGTGACGATGTCGATTTTTTTGAGCCGATTAACAAGGCTCTGTTGTCCCGTACGATAATGGCATTGGGTATATGGAAGTGGCAGTCCATCACTGCATACCCATCAGAAAAGAACAAACAATTCTCATCTCAAAATTCGTATTATATGTGGAAAATCAACTTTTCTAAAACTGATTCAAGTTTGTGTTTTGTTTTGATAGTTCAAATATGGCTGACAGCTCTACTTTTTATGCTTTACATTTTTAAAGTTTAGTTTGACCTGAAGGGTCTGTAAATAAACTTGATATGTAAAGCTAAGAGAATGTGATTTTAACTTTCTGAAGTTTTTTATTT